CTCTCGTTGTGGTTAGTGATGGAAGCTCTTCATCCTCGTGGTGGCAATCTCTCGGTGTGGTTAGTGATGGAAGCTCTTCATCCTCATGGTGGCGATCTCTCGTTGTGGTTAGTGATGGAAGCTCTTCATCCTCGTGGTGGCAATCTCTCGTTGTGGTTTGTGATGGAAGCTCTTCATCCTCATGGTGGCGATCTCTCGTTGTGGTTAGTGATGGAAGCTCTTCATCCTCGTGGTGGCAATCTCTCGTTGTGGTTTGTGATGGAAGCTCTTCATCCTCATGGTGGCGATCTCTCGTTGTGGTTAGTGATGGAAGCTCTTCATCCTCGTGGTGGCGATCTCTTGGTGTGGTTAGTGATGGAAGCTCTTCATCCTCGTGGTGGTGATCTCTCGTTGTGGTTTGTGATGGAAGCTCTTCATCCTCGTCGTGGCGATCTCTCGTTGTGGTTTGTGATGGAAGCTCTTCATCCTCGTCGTGGCGTTCTCTCATTGTGGTTTGGTTTCGCTGTGAGGGCAGAGGCGGCTCTCGCCCCATCAGGAACTGCAACACAGACCAATATCACAATGACATTCAGAGGCTAAGTGCTCAGTCCACAAAGGCTTGCATTTGCCCATTCCATGCGGTTAGGAGCCTACGATACCCACAATGCCTCCCTCTTCCCATGCCCCCTGTCCGGGCTTCCTGTTACGTAGCCTTCTCCGTTGCAGTACATCTCGAAGAACGCCCCAGCCACCGAGCGAGTCATTCGGCACGGGGCAGAGGCGTCCTTCTCTGGCAGCCGAGCGTCTTCCAGATCCCACCACACATCAAGCCCCGCCCACTCATCCACACACAGGTGAATGCCGCCGCCGCTTTGCTCTCCCAGTACAAGGTTACCATGACGCCTCCGAAATCCCCTGTACTGTAGGTGACTTCTCCGCTTTCCCCCATTGCCGCAGCAATATGGCCATCACATGACCCCTCCAGCGGATTAGTCTTCTGGACCAATTACACACACAGCCCGCCCCCCCCCCCCCCATGGCTCTTAAAATGAAATATCAGCTGTGTGGCATAGCAGCTGAATAATCTCTCTGAATACCCCCCCTCCCCCCCCCACATCGGACTGATTGAGCTGCAGATAATCCAAGCCAGGCAAAACCAAGGACACGTCCTGGGGGGGCCAGAGCTTGGGCTGATTAAAGCAGTATTCCTTAAACCGGTCCTTAGGGAACACCAGATATACCACATTTTGCTCCTTCCCAGCTCCTACTGGAAAGGAGCAGAAACCTGGACTGGCTGGCAGGGAGCTGGGAAGGGAGCAAAAATGCGGACCATGAGGACCGGTGCCTGAGGACCGGGTTGAGAAGCACTGGATTAAAGGATCAGCTTTTGCGATGATTGCACTGATAAAGAACGCCATCCTTCAGCAGAAATCCCTCACAAACTCAGCCAAATGCCAGATGACTTTGGGCAGGCAGCCTCCTTATACTCTGCTTCCTAGTTCCTCTACCGAGAAACTGACCAGTGTTTTTTTTCCAGTGTGTTGGTCGCCACCTGGTGGCTGTATATGTGCCTCGCTGAGTTTCTCTCTTATCGTCGCTGGAGTTTCTAGCGAAAAAACAACTTTCACTGACACTGAGCACACAAAAACATATTATATGCATTTAATTTTCCTTTTGGATCCTTCTCACTTATGTCTTTCAGTTGAGGACATGAAGCAGCATTTATTTAGCCATGTTTAAGTTAAAGCCAGTGATCCGAAAAGTTAAAACACTGGCGTCATGCAAATAAAAACTTCCAACTGATGATTCATTCTTTCACAGTGCCCAGAATGCACCGCGAGCTGTGATACAGATACCAGGGCGTATGTGTCCACACCGGACGCGGTCCTCCAGCTGAATCATACACGTCTGTGTCTATTACATACACATACAGAGAGCACATACATGCACACACACACACACACAGGTATTGCACCAACATAGAGTGTTTCTGATCGAGCATCCGAAAGAGTTACTCCTGTGCAGGAATCAGTGCTGTCCTGTTCTCTGGCTGCAGTGAAGTGTGCCTGTTCAGTTTATATGCTTTCCAGCTGTTCTCTGCCCCCCTCCCACTGCATGGATCAGCATGTACCCCTGGGCCTACGCTGCACTTCTGGAAGGTGGGAGCGCTGGTGGCTCTGTGGACATGAATGTGATGGCGCTCTCGCTTTCCCCCCGCCTCGCCCTGCCCCCACGCAGACACGAGGACCGTACATGGAGCTTGGACAGGACAGAGAGCGCGCTGTCGGACTCCCCCTCGGGCATGGCGTCGTCCTCCGTGGGGACCAGTAAATGCAACAGTCCTGCGTGCATGGAGGCGCGGGCCAGGCGTGCGGCACACTGTGGCATTACTGAGCCCCACCACCCCGCCGCACGGTACAGGGACTCCTTCGACTCGCTGGGGGACTCTCCGCACAGCGACAGGTGGGACGCCCGCACCGTCCACTATGGCACTGTGCACATTTTAGTGTACACGTTAAAACGCTCGCTTCCATGGCGACCTCCCCCCGCGGGGATGGCCGTGCCAGTTTGAAAGACTTAATGGCACATGTTTGGTTTTCAGAGGGATGAGAGGCAGTGCAGAGGCGGGATGTCACTGCAGAGGACGTGTATCGGAGTAGAGGCCAAGTATGAGATCAGCATACTAGGAAGGAAAGTGTCAAAGCAAAGGGAAATCATCAGAGCGTCAGAGCAGGGGCAGATTATTAAAATAGAGGCGGAGTGTCAAGAGCAGAAGCAGAGTGTCAGAGCAGAGGCAGATTCTCAGAGTAGAGGCAGAGTGTCAACGGAGGCTGATTAACAGAGTAGAGGCAGAGTGCCAGAACATAGGAGGACTATTGGAGTAGAGGCAGAATGATAAAGCAGAGGCAGATTCTCAGAGTAGAGGCAGAGTGTCACTGCAGAGGTAGATTATCAGAGCAGAAGCAGATTACAAGAGTAGAGAACAGTGTCAGAACAGAGGCAGATTATTGTAGTAGAAGCAGAGTTTAAATACACTTCAGCAGGGTGGGGGCACAGATTAAATCATCTTATTTTTGGTGTGCCATTGAACCTTTCAAGCTGCATGTTTCTAATGTGTATATTAAAATCTTCCCAGTGCCATAGTAAACGTGGGGGCAGAGGGAGTGGCCTGAAGTTGGTGTTGGTGGTTGGGGGTGGGCCTGCTTGTACCTCGGGGGACTTTGATGCAGTGCAGCTGTGTAGCACGCCACGTTATATGGGCCGAATATGGGCTTTGCTTACACCCTTCCACGGCGTGAGGGAATGGGACGACCGGACTCAGACGTCATTCTCCTGTATTTATCCATCTCTCCCCCCACGTAATCTCCCCCTCCCCCGCAGGTACGTGTCGGCGCTGACGACGCCGGCGCGCCTCTCCCCGGTGGACTTCCATTACTCACTGCCCCCACAGGTGCCTACCTTCCAGATCACCTCCCCCAACACCAGCCACGCCATGTCCCTTCCGCCGGCCGCCCGCGCCTCCTACCAGCCAGAGGACGACCAGCCGCTGCTCCGCCGTTACCAGGTGCCGCTGCAGGACGCCCGGCGGCACGAGCTCTACCGACAGCAGCGTCGTACCTACCTGGACGAGAGTACCGGCAGCCTGCCGTCCAGCCCGTACCGGCCGGCGGACGACGACGAGTATGAGACCACGCAGGAGTACCTCTCCTCCCTGGAGAAACCAAAGAGAAGCGGATCCAACGGCAGACGCTGGCGGAGGTCCAGGCTCAACGGGCACGTGTCGCAGCGCGGCGAGGCGGCGCGGGACTGCGGCTCGCGGAGCTGCCTGTCGGACAGCGAGTCAGAGGAGGAGGATGGGGAGAGCACGCCCTTCCTCAGTATGCAGAACATGAGCACGGAGCCCTCCACCATCTACAGGCCGGCCGAGGCGCGGACTCATCAGCCTTCGGGCAGGCAGAGTTCACGTGGGAACGTGCCGCCGAGACTGACGCTGTCCCGGTCCAAACAAGACAGCGCTCCCCAGTAGAACCGACCTACCGACGCAACAATACACTATAGACCTGCACCTATAAGAAATATTTTTATTTTATATAACAGACAGATATTCTAACAAATGAAATATTTATTTTCATTTTAGCAAATGTTGTCTACTAGCTAACAGCAAAGACTTTTTTTATAGGGAAAACTCTATTTATATGTACATTTTGATTTACAGCATAAAGAAAAAGAGACGTGCCAATTTTTTCACAACTTAAAAAAAATAGAATAATATTGTGGTGCCTTTTGATGTATGCCGATGCCAGAGGTCCAGTTACGTTTTTTGTAGCCTTTCTTATACGGACTCCTCATTTTTATACACGTTTCTTCTTTCTGTTCTCTTCTTCATTGTCATTTCATTTTTTCAAGGTTTGTTTTTTTGGGGGAATCATCCCTTTTTTGAACTGTGACATCCTTGTCTCATCATACGATATAAGCCACTTCTGCCTAAGGTGTATGTTTACACGAATATGATTCGCTCGTTTGTTTGTCATTTTGTTTGTTCGTTTTCGTTTTCGTAACAGGAGGCTGAGGGCGTGGCGGCCTTCCAAATGTGTCGCCCTTTGCTTTTTGACCCGTCATGGCAAACGGTTTCTGTAGAACCGTAGGTCTGGCAGGCAGTGGACACGGTATCACCTCAAGCGTTTCTGTAGAACCGCAAGTCCAGTAGGCAGTGGGCATGGTACAAGTGTGTCTATAGAATTGCAGGTTTAGTGCAATGGGAACTGGACAAGGTATGACTTGAAGATTTTCATAGAATTGAAAGCCTGGTAGACAGTGGACAAGCACCACCCAGAGGGTGTCTGTGGAACTGCAGGTCTGGTGGGCAGTGGACCAGTACTATGACTAGGGCTTCTGTAGATCCACCAGCCCAGCAGGTAGCTGTCACTCTGAGGTTTTTCTGTAGATGGACAGATCCAGTGGGCAGAGGACATAGTATGCCAAGGCTCCCTGGGATTGAGGACAAGGTTTTAACATTATTTGCTGGCTGGCCGGCCTGGCCAACTTCCTCCTTCTTGGTCCGTGGGAGGGGTCACATGGCCAAACACCTGAATCTGGTCCAAAGGCAGCAGAGTCTGGGAGAAGCATCGGGTTGAGAGGCTAAAGGTCTGAGGAGCTCCAGGCTTGAGGGATCTGGGCTTGGACAGAACCCCCTCCACTCTCTCCTCCACTCCTACCCCCCC